GTATTCCTATCTAGATTGTGGTCTTCGAAGAACAAACAGGTTCGGAAGATTCTCGTTATTGGGGGAGATGGAACCATTGGAAGCCAGGTTAGGAAAAAAAGTTTATTAAATCGAAACGGTCATTTATTTTCCAGATTGTCAAAATTCTCCGCCAGAACCCGGAATTCGAGACGCACGTTACAGTTCATCATAAATTCTCTGCCAGACACCTTCTGAGTGAGGATAATAACATGTACTATGAGCTAGATCTTACAGATAATGAGCAGGTAATAAAATACAAATTTGAAAGTTTCCTATTTTTTCTGATATTGGTAGATTCTCCTTCTTGCCAATCAACTGAAACACCATCATTTCGATGTGGCAATTTTCGCTGCCGGAGTTATGTTGTCTCCAGAAATCCGAACATCAGATGGCGTCGAGTTTCACAACGCGGTGAACGTAGTTGGACAAGTTATGCTATATGAATTGCTGCAAAATGAGATAAAAAGAGCAATATTCCTTTCATCAGCCACAGCCAGAATGGCATGCTATTCGAGAGATTTGAATTTCTTGAGTGTTTACGCTGGACCATATCAGGCATACGCATCGTCAAAGCTGAATCTTGCAGTTTACGTAAACGAAGTTTCGAGAAAAAGGTATTTTTAAAATCCAAGGATCCCTAGATCTGGTTTTTTTCAGACATGTGACTGCAGTGAGCCTTCATCCGGGAACAGTTCCAGGTCATCTCTATCACAACGCAAATCCGTTGGTTCGATACTTAAATGCCACGATTCTGCCGAAAATTCTTCGAAAACCAGAAATGGCAGCTATTCTTGTTCTGCATACAGTTCTACGAGAAGACATACAACCTGGTGCATACTATGAAGATACAGAAGTGGTGAACTTGGCCGATTGCATTCCAGAACAAGTTTCTGTAATGCTTACATACATCTGAATAATTTGTATTTTTCTAGGAGCGCTCCAGAATATACGAAACCATTCATCGGCAGGTCGAGTTGTGGATGGAATAGTAGTATTATTTTTATAGTTTTATTCGTATGCTTTTATTTATATGAAGATCGTTTTATTATTTATTGATCAGTGAATAAAAACAGATACAAAAAACAATAATGAGATCCTATGAATCTGATTGTAGTTGTGTAGAATTGAATAGGATGTGTATAGAATTTGAAAACAAACAAAATTTTTGACCAGCAAATTGAGAATTAAGTTGGACTACAATGTGAGAACAGAAAGAGAATTTCGAAAAACTAAACGCGAAGAGAGTGATTAGTATGTGAGAAGTCGAGGGATGGAATATAATCGTCATTTGAGCTGTTGGTCAGATCATCCATGAACTCCTCGAAACTAGCATTGTGATCAGGAACAAGAGAAGAAGCAGAACGAAGGTTCGGATTGTGTGGTGGGAGCATTTCGAGGTGATGGTGACTGGTTCTCGCAGCGAAAGATACAGTTTCAACCACCTGAGAATATGATCCGAAATTCACATTTAACAATTCTCGTTTTACCTCTTGCGGAGTCTTCCCGTATTGTTTCATCAAAGCTTCCAATTGCATTTCAAACGATTGATTCATTGGTAACGGAGGCATCATTGTCGGCGTTGTATTGATAGGCGACGTCGTGGATGAAGACGAAGGCATCATATGAGACAATGAAGTCATCGGATCATGATTCTGATTATGATGATGCTCATATCTCTGCGGAAGACTCGGAACATTGAACAGATAGTGAGATTCAGATGAAGATGATGACGGAATATCATGAGATTCAGAAGGACGTGGTGATGGACGAGGAGTGTGTTCCCGACAAGCAACAACTGCTACACGGAGAGGTGTGAATCTGGAAATATTGCTTATTGTATTTTAACTTTGGGCTTAAACTCACTTGACATGAGTAACATGATTCAATGGTCCTTTATCCGTTATATTAGAAGAAACTCCTCTGACTCTTTTCACATCATTCACTTTGAAGTACTTTTCGATAACACTGGAGACTGGCATGTAATCCAAATTGTATGTGAGAAGATAGTCAATCTGAAATACAAATAAAAGCTTTTTATTATTTTCTATTTTTCATGTTTGGCTCACTTTGGCTGTTTCTGCAATATCCGAAATGTACTCCAAAATGCTTTTCGCCTGAAGCTTCTTCAATTCCAATGGCTCTAGATGAACGATTTCTCCGCGCAGGGTACGGTAGCTCACACAAACACTTCCGCCCAGAATGTAGGTCAATCTGATGACCATGCAGTTGTGGCGGGGTATCAACAAGTTCATAACTGCTTGTGTATCCAAGAATCCATGCATCAAATAGTTTTCCCAAAGAGTTTTGACAGCTGCTTTTGGATCTTGAAATATCTGAAGAACTTCGAGAATTCCCCTCCAAACACTGAATCGCATTTGGACGGTGTCAGTGTCGAATCTCAAATGGGAACAGAGAATATTCTTGAAACTAATGCAGTTTTCTCCATGTTGGTCATCGGTATCGTCTCCACACTGTTCACAATGCATTTTGTCTTCCAATAGGGCATAATCAGATTCCTCCATTGTACGTTTGACTTCTCCGTTGACCATGAAGTACCGACGTGTGAGTTCTTTAAATTGGGTCCATGTCAATGCTGAAATCAGTGTTTTAAACATACATGTGGATGGCCGGGCCGTGCCGCCTAGGACAACTTTTCGAAAATGTTATTTTTTGAATGTGCAAAAATATTTATAATGGCACAAATATTAATCCAAATGCACACAACCATCCGAAAAAGTCAATTTAATTGAATTTTTAGCAAAAAAAATCAAACTTCATTAAGCCAAGGATGAAACTTTTTTTTCTAATTACGACTTCAAACCAGTTTTTGTCGACAGTATCGGCCTCTAGTGTGGATTTTCGTTCACTAAAAAGAAAAACCATCTTGAAAAATAATGATTCGCTCTAAAATTTCAAAATTTCTAAAAAGCGGGCCGGCCATCTTTTTCACAAGTATGATTTTAAAGAAGTGGGACAGGAGATTTTACGAAATTATTTTTTGAAGTTAGGAAATGCATTCTGACGTAACAGTGCACAATGTTCAGTGTTCTCGGGGGTTTATAGAAACGGAGTTTGGAGAAAATCATTTTTCCATATCTTCCCACCGTTAAGTTGTTTTCCGAATTTATGGGAAACTTACGATTTTCATTCCAGTTCAGAAGTAATCCATTGAAGGAGCATGTTCCGTACATCCAAAAACAAGTTGCCGTATACGATGAATTCATTCTTTGTACTTGACAATCTTGATTTCTTCTTGTACTGATTGTAAATGGAAGTGATAATGTTCGCACATAGAAATCATCACCAGATGGAGACCAAGTTTTAGCACGAATGTAGAAATAGAACAGAGGCCGTTTTCCAGTTGCACCAGATTTTGTGTCCAGAAGAACGGCATCCTGAGAAATTTTTATTATTCAAGTCAAAAAAGGAATCTTTAACTTTTTGTTTGGTTGTGCATAATAAATGGGGATAAGTAGTTTGAAAGGCTCGGTCTGGCCCACTGAACAACGCAGGAATTGTAACAAATTCCTGACTATTAACATCTGATTTCTTGTGTGCATTATTTCCTCCGGTTCCTTTTTGATTTGCAGTTGCATTGTTCCTTTTCACTCCAGTTGTTGGCTTCATTGCAATCAAAGCAGCAGATGGAAATAATTTTGGTTCTTTTGGAGAACTTGATCCCATTCTACATTGAATTATCTCATTTTGAATTGCCGCTGCTGTCTCTTCACTGACGATTTGAATATCGAATGAGTTGTAGAAGAGAGTCTGAAAAATTTGTAATAGGATATATAAAATGAGCCCTTCTCGCTTCCTTACCTTATTCAAAGAGTAGCATGTGAACGTAAAAAGGTTATTTGTCACCATTATTGGTGAGCCACTGGGCTCATTACACATCAAAGCATCATTCATAACTTGCTCATAAGTCATCATTACTTCTTGCAATAGCTGCCATAAAGTATCTGGCGTAGCATACATATTCGTGGAAGAACTTTGACATTCAAATCGAAGACCTTAAATTCGGACTGCTAGAATACCCAAAATGTAGGTTAGACTTGAGTAGTACTTTTTGATTTCTCGTAAGTCATCTTCTAGCAGTTTTCCATGATTTGACAAATTTTCAACTTGAACTCTTCTGAGTTCCGTATGAAGTAAAGGGGAATTTTCAACACATCCTCGGCGAAATGCTGCCAAACATGGTTGGAGCTGAAATTTGCAATTGTTTGATAAATTTCGCTTCAAGCTATCAGAATACCTGTCTCGTGAAAAATGCTCTCATCTTGATTTCAACATTGCAATTTGGATTTTGCAACTGGGAGAGCAATCCGTGCAAAAAATGCAAGAGGTTGTTGAATTGATCGAAAAACTGATTCCACCATTGTTCTCTCTCAACAGACACTTTTGGAAGCCGTAGAGGGCGAGCCATATTGATCAGGCGAATCAAGTATAGGTTCAAACTTTCCGTTGTAGAATCTTTTTCGATTGTCTGTGGTAAACGAACAATGCATACCAGAAGACCCCAAACAAGAACATTCCACTCGTCTTCAAACTCATCATCTCCAAGTTCCGGGGATGCCAAAACTGAAAGAAAGGACTTTTATGACGAAATGTAGAGGTCTTAAACATGTTTCCAACTTTGATAATACTTTATTATGTCCACAAGCAAAGCGGGACTAACAGATAACTTCTAGATGCAGGCTCAAGAGCCGCGGACGGGTGAACACCGCCTAGTTTCCGCTTTAGCGATGAGCGCGGACCGTTGACGGCTTGTCGACGGACCGTTCCTTCGCTGTGAATAGAGTCACAGTTTTTGAACTAAAAGTTGTTAGACATGAATCCATTAACCGCGAAGGAGAATTCGCATAGAAATTGTAAGCTCTTTTCTATCCGGATAGAAAATAATACCGTATATCCTTTAATAGAAGCCCACATCGCCACTTCTTGTTTTATATTTTATCGAAAAGGTCTTCCTTTTTAACTATGAGGTATTTGCTATTTTCAAGCTCTTTCTAAACTTTTCTGATTTTCCTAATGTCCATCTAATGTTTTTTCTGCTGTTGGTCTATTTGTCCCTCCACTTATTATCTGTATCCATAGTTTGTGGACAGATGATTCTATCTTCATCGTTATCAATTTATCGTTTTGGATGTGGTCGTAAATCAAAAGCGCATCGTTGTCAGTGTCATCTTTTCTATCTGCATTATCTTCCCCCCACTCCTTCTTTTTTCTTCTTCCCAGACTATCAACGCCTTCAGATAGAATTTGTCCCAACCACGTGGGTGAATGCGTCGAACAGATCAAAATTCGGAATTTTAGAACATATCTCTCTTACCTACGAATCGTTTTTCCAAAAGTTGCTCAATGTGGTTTCTTATTATCAGAATATTGTTCTCTACAGCTGCCTCATCAGCAACGGTTTCTCGAGTTCTGGAAAGTTGTCCAAGCTGAAATTCAAATATTGAAAAGTATAAAAAAGAAATCTTCATAAGATACCAATTGATGGATTATCTTCTGATACTGTTCAGCGGTGGTAAACACAGATATTTGTTTCACAAGTTGGGACATTCTATCATAGCCTGAAAAAAAAGAATAACAAACTGATAAGAAAAAGAATGAAGTAATAGGAGCGGCAAAAACAAAATGGATGGGGATTAGATTTTGAGGAAAAAGTTTTTTTACGAAAACTATAGAACCTATATTGGGGCAGGAATTTTCGCTTAAAATTTGATTAACAAAGTGAAACTTCGTTTGGTTACTAAATAGTTCTTTCATTTGATGATGTAATGATAATAATTGGGAACAACTCCAAAAACATCAGTATCTATATATGACCAGCTGATAACTGGACAAGGAAGTTATATGGTAATCAAGGCTATACCACGAACGGATGCAGCTTTTTGAATAAAGAACTTTTAAGGATAGATAGGATACGGCGGTTTAGCCGCCCTAAGTGGTTTTAGGGTCGCTGAGCGTACTTTCGAAAAAAAAACAGACTGATTGGTCCTACCAATTACCGATTTTCTCAGCCTTGATGGTAGTGATGAGTAGAGACAGTCATTATGATTAAGAATAAAAAGAAAATTTTCAGATACCGAGATTCTTGAAATGAGAGAATTTGAAAAAGTAAACAATGGGATCGTTGAAAAAAATTGTTACTGAAAACAGTTTAGATCAGAATGTAGACAAATAAAAACATAGGATTTTCGAAGATTCTAATAAAGACTACTATGAGATTACGGTAGATGCGAGAATGTTGTTATTTGAGTTTCTGAAGTGAAGTTGATATGCAAGCGGAAATATAAAGAAAAAAGATCCGATGCTTTCTTTAGTTTTGGTTAGACGCCCAACTGGAATTCATACATTGATGAGACGAAAGAAAATATTGATAATAGAGTGAAAAATGGAGAGGAATTAGAAATGATAGCAGTGATAAGTGAGTGTCCAAAGATACTGTAGAAACGAGAGAGAGAACACAGTGAAAAATTGATATAATGATATGACTGACAGCCAATTAAATGGGAGGAGGGGGTAGAGAGACAGATGTAGAATGGACAAAAATTTGTAGAGTGGCGTCTTTCAATAATATGTATTTTGCCGTTCTAGCACACCTTTTCGACCACTCTCAATTTTCTACATTTTCAGTCATTTTAAGGCTTATTTTCATTGATTTCTAACCTTCGGTCATCAAAAATGTGTCATTTTCAGCAAATTTCAAAAATGGGGGAAAGGTCGAAAGGTGCGTTAGAAAAAATGTTGCCGAAATCCAGTGGTCGAGATGGTCGAAATATTGCGCTAACATTTTGAATAAAAATTACCTTAAAGACTTCAAGCTTACTTCATTTTCGAAGAGATTCCAAACATAAGCCATCAATAATGAAATCGTTTATTATCACAACAATAATGAAACCATTTTATTATCACAACGAATTATTGTGACACCAAAATCCCACACCTAATTCGTATAAGTGATATCATCCATTCACGATAGCGCGATTATTCTTTCAATTCGACATTTTCTTCCAACGGCAGAAATTTCTAAAGTCATTGATTAATATAATGTGTTGTATTAAGTAAAGCTTACTAGTATTAAAGCTTGTATGTTTTTGATCGGGATTATTCCACATCGACCACCCGTTGCCGGAGATGCCGGTCGTCCATTATGGTCAGTTGTATGAGGAACAGTCTCAGTCTCAACCTGCAATTTTGGGTTTGAGTTTTTGTGAAATCTCGCATTCCGCGAAAATAAGTTGATCCCACATCCCGCACCCAGCATTTTGGAATAAAGCCCATCTCGCCCAGGACTGACCTGCATCCCAATTAGCCTTCCATCATCGCTCCAGCAGCTTCCTCCACTGTCTCCCACGAATGCTCCACTGGAGCCCAAAAAACGCAATCTCGATGTGATATCGCTGGATATAATTCCCGCGGAGAATGAGATATGTGACGTTCTTCCATGTATTACCGAGTAACCCATCTGAAATCATTTCAGTGTGAATAATAATCAAAAATTATAAATTATGAGTAAAATACTTAGTTAGACTTACCAAATAGTATGGCATTCCTCTCCTCAGTTCGGGTGCTTCCAATATCAAATCGCGATTGCATAGCTCGGTGGATTTAGATTGCATAACTATTAAATCGAGGGAATCATCAACCAGTACAACATACGAATCAACTATCACTGCCTGGTTTTGATATGATGTAAGTCTAACACAATCGCCGTTCGCTAAATGCTTATTCCCCCCGTGGCGGTAAGTAATTGCAAGAAATCGAGTGATAGGGATAGCAGATCGTTTCAGATTGTCTCCTTTCGAATAGAACCAAGCGTATTGGCTTATAAGAAATACGATATCTCCATCAATCGACAAAGGTTCCATGTCCATGTCAATCCTTCGCCGCTTCTTAGATGTAGGTTCTAAAACAAAAAAAATATATACATAAATGCGGTGTCCAATATTCATCAAACCTTCCGCATCATCAGGAGTTGATGGTCGAGAAGGAGCTCTATCGGATTCCACATTGAACTGGAGATTTAAGTAGTTCTCAGGAAGTATAAAGGCCGTTCCCTCCTCGTTCATTCTAAATCACAAATTTTTGAAATAAGTGAGAAATAATCCACATGTGACTTACTCACAATGGATCTCCTCTTCACACATTTCATACGAAAGAGAAACAATTGCCTCCTCGGCAAGCAGGAAGGCAGCTTTTAGTGTGCTCTTGGCGAGAATTTTTTGAGACGGCACGAAATTGATCTTCTTGCCGTGCATCTTGATTCGGATAACTTTTGCCATGATCGAACACGAGACAAGCTAAAAACAAATAATTAATCGTGTTTTTTAAAATATTTTTTGAATTACGGATGGGAAATAACGAAATCAACGCAAACTACGGAAGAAAAACAAGTCTCTTTTCTATTCACAAAGGCTTATGGAAGAATGCGATGCTGGCTGTCTCTCGCTTTCCTCTGCGTCTCTGCCTTCCACTCTTGCCCAACGCGTTTGCGTGTTGCGTCGCGTGTGTCTAGTTCAACTGGGGCAAATGTGTGATTGCGCTCGGTCACAGTGAGGAAGAGGAAAGAAGATCACACAAAGAGAAAGAGGACGCTGATGACCTTTGTACGTCACACAAAAGGATCTGAAAGACATTCAGCGAAAGCAAGATTCCTTGAAGTGCCTAGTGAAGGAAATAACTAATTGTAAATGAGAAAGAGAGAGAGAGAGAGTGGTCAATCTGTGAGATCTAGAACACGACAACTTTGGTCACACTTTAATGCGTTCGAGAAGCAATTGCATCACACACTGCAATGACACTCTAACCTTCTCGAACGTGCTAGCAAACAGGTACAAGAGGATCTGCAAAGACATTCACCTAGCGAAGGAGAGCGAAGTGTCTCATTTGAGAACGATTTGTGTCGCAGAATTTCTTCAGTTTTCTTCAACTTTCTTGCATAAATTATCTCATTATCGCTTATAACTTGCTTCAAAGCTGTTCTAATGACTTCAAATTTTAAATTCGATCTTTTCAGGCAAGTCCTATTCCCCAAATGAGTGGAAATCTCCCAACTTCCATGGATGTTGATAAACCCGAAGATTCTGGGATTCAAGATCCTAAGACGACTCCTAAGGTTTCGAAGATATAAGAACTCGATGCTCAACGAGAAGAATTTCGGAAAGATTCGGAGAGTCTTACTTTGGAACAGCTTCAACGAAAGGTTGGTTTTATTTTTACTTTTTAAATTTTTTTAAAGAATGTGAAATACAATGACTGAATTCAGGCAGAAATGCTGAAAGATAAGGCAGCAAAAGCAACTGCAAAGGCTACAATTGCAAGAGCTTACTATGAGAATGAGAAGATATTAATTGGAAAGAGACAAAGCGCATATCAAGATAGAAAAAAGGTGAGAATTTTGATGAATTATCTTTACAAAAACAACTTTTTTTTTCAGAAGAAGGATATTGTGAAGACGCAACGTGCAAAGTTGATGAGGCTACATCGAGCTGAGCGAGACAGGAAGAATAAATTGAAAGATGACGCCGATGACCTTCGAGAAAAAGAAGAGTATTATTAACAATTACTAACAAAGTGTAAGTTATTGCTCTTTGTGTCAGTGTTTATGAAATATAATCATACTGGTATTTCTAAAATATAGCTTTACCAGTATTTATAAATTATAACTATACTGGTATTACTAAAGAACCATACTGGTATTAATACTGGTATAAACTATAGCTTTACCAGTATTTATGAAATATAATTATACTGGTATCATACTGACACTTGATTTGTAACTAATGTTTATTTCTTCTATCTTTTCTCATTATAATAAATAAATGTCTTGTGAAATATCAGATTCTCCGAATCCTAGAGCTTCCAGCTTGTATTGTTTCAAGTGCAAGATAAAGACGAATACGCTTGATGTTCAATCGATGTTGACAAAGAACAGCAGAGCAATGATAAAGGGGAAGTGTGAAGATTGTAGCACAACAAAGTGTAAAATAATTTCCAAAGAAGTGAAAAGTGGTGGATCAACGAAGGATCTGCCAGAGCCAGAGGATTCCAAGGATTCAAAGGATAGAATCCTTTTAGAAAAAACATATTATTCTCCTAAAACAGGTTTCTGTGGTATCAATGAGCTCTCAAGAGTAGCAAAGGTGTCGCAGAAAAAAGCTAAAGAGTTTCTCGATGAGCAAGATGTTTACACTCTTCACAAGCCAGCACGTAAGAATTTCAAGAGTCAAAGAGTTTACGTTAGTGGAATAGATGATCAATGGCAATCTGATTTAGTAGAAATGATTCCTTATGCCTCGGAGAATCATGATTTCAAGTATCTCTTGACCATCATTGATTGTTTTAGTAAGTATGCATGGGTTGTTCCTCTTAAAAGTAAAACAGGCAAAGAAACTGCAGATGCTTTGGAATCTGTCTTCACAAAAAGTAAAAGGAGGCCACAAAAGATGCAGACTGATAATGAATTCAACAATTTTATATACGAATTTTCAGAAATTTTGGATCGCCTCTTCCTTCTTCTACTGAAAATGTGCATCCTGCACCCTGCTCACCACCGAACAAATCAACAGAAACATTTGAGTTCAAGGTAACAGCTCTTTAATCGAAATTCTCTTCATTAAAACGTATTCTACAGACACCGTCTCGCGCTCGTAGCGCTCTCAGTTCACCAATGAATAATTTCTTAAACGGAGGCGACAATGATTCTCCAACTTCGCGACCGGCCTCTCGTCTCATGCAGCGACTCGAGCAGAAGGGAACAATCCGCAGAGACGATGAGATAATATCGCAGGAAATCAGACGCGTTGCAGAAACTAATCTCTCTCGCAGTCCTTCTTTGGCGTCGCTTCGAGGATCCATTCAGAATCTTTCTATACGTGGAAGTCATTTGAATTTGGCAGGTACTTCAGGAGAGTTGCCTCCAAATCTCACAAAATTCGCTAGTGTGGTAAGTTCTTGGTAAAGGTTTGGTCGACATAAAGGTTCTTTTTCAGAATTCTCCGGCCCGTCAATCCTTGTCAGCTATGGAGAAAACTACAGATCGTCAAGCAGCGGTCCTTGAAAGACTTGGGCGTCTTCGCGAATCGCTTCACGCGGGAAAGAACTACACTCCACCCCGCAGCGGATTCTCATCATCACGTATAACAACTCCTGCTCAGACACCGCCGATTTCACCTCGTCCAGTTTCGTAGGATCTGCTAACAACTTGCATCAGAAATCTAGTATCAAAAAAGTGCCTTTTCCCCATCATTTATTTGAGCCATTCCTCCTCCATCAACCGATTGTCATGCTTTACCCGTTTTCTTATTTCCCTTTTTTGCATTGCAATTTCCCCCTTTCCAAATGTTAAATTCACTTTCGTCACAAGCTTTCTTTTCTATGAAATAGATGTGACTTTTTTTCGTGACGCTTTTTCTAAAAATTACGGATACCTTATGAAAAACTGAGAAACCGAAATACCTCTATTCCTCTCAACCCACCCAATTCCATGTCCATTACTATTCAATCAAAAGTTATGAATAAAGCATTCCAAAGTTAAAAGTTAAACATCCGGGACACACATTTCATTGCATAGCTGAAAATATCTGATTGTGAGAATGTGGAAAACATCAGTGGAAAATACGATTTACTGCATTCTACAGGATTCAAATGAGGGGAGAGAACGGAAGACGTGGTTGGGGAGTACTGAAACACATGTGGACATTATACCAGGTTAATAATCTAAACTTGAATAAATGGTGAAACCAAAAAATCGATTTCAGCCACTGTCTCTACTACCCGCATCGGATTTCTTCGTTGAACTACTCGTTTTAATTCACATTTATCTTCTCGCCGCATGGCTTGCACTCCGAGAAGC